TAAACTTTAGGGCATATACTTTTAAAAGCAAAATATTCCTATGCTACTTGGAAATGATTGGTTGTTCTTTGGCTGTAGCAATAAGTAACTACCTGAACCAGTTACAAACTGGACCTAATCTATTAGATCAATGCAACTCACACCAAAATTTGCCGATTCAGGGACTCCTTGCTTTCCTAAACCCTGTATAAGTTCAATGCTCTTCTTTTCTCAGAGACACGATGCTTACAAGTACAGCTTGCCCTTAATAAGCAACAAACATAGTTTAATGTGCAAAAAACTCAGCTTTTTCTTTTAAGTACTTCCTTTGGTACGGCACATAAGGATTATCAATGGTATGGGGCTGATTATCTATACTTTCTAATACCCATTTTGGAAAATATATGATTATGTCACAAAGCAGTAGAATCCACAGTAGTGGTTCTCAATGATGGGGAAGGAAACAATTTTGTTCCCAGAGGACATTTGGCAAACTTTGGAGATATTTTTCATTGTCACAGCTGAGGTGAAAGGACGATTACTGGCATCTGGTGGTTAGAGGACATGGATGCTTCCAAACATGCTAGGATGAACAGAAAGAAACTAGATCCTCACCTCTCACCTTACTAAAAAATCAACTCAAGATGGATCAAGGACTTAAATCTAAGACCTGAACTATAAAACTTCTAGAAGATAACATTGGACAAACCTTTCTAGACACTGGCTTAGGCAAAGACTTCTTGACACACAACCCAAAAGCAAATACAACAAAAATGAAGATACATAGGTGGGACTTAATTAAACTAAATAGTTTCTGCACAGCAAAGGGAACAGTCAGCAGAGTAAACAGACAATCCACAGAGTGGGAGAAAATCTTCACAATCTCTATATCCGACAAAGGACTAATATCCAGACTCTACAATGAACTCAAACAAATTAGCAAGAAAAAAACAAACAATCCCATCAAAAAGTGGGCTAAGCACACGAATAGACAATTCTCAAAAGCAGCTATACAAATGGCCAACAAGCATATAAAAAATGCTCAACATTACTAATGATCAGGGAAATCAAATCAAAATCACAATGCAATGCAACCTTACTCCTGCAAGAATGGCCATACTCAAAATATCAAAAAATATTAGATTTTGGTGCGGATGGGGTGAAAAGTGAACACTTCTACACTTTTGGTGAGAATGCAAACTAGTACAACCACTATGAAAAACAGTGTGGGGATTCCTTAAAGAACTAAAAGTAGAACTACCATTTGATCCACTAATCCCACTTACTGGTTACCTACCCAGAGGAAAAGAAGCCATTATACGAAAAAGATACTTGCACATGCATGTTTATAGCAGCACAATTCACAATTGCAAAAATATGGAACCAGCCCAATTGCCCATCAGTCAATGAGTAAATACAGAAATTGTGGTGTATGTATATATAAGATGGAATACTACTCAGCCATACAAAGGAACAATTTAATGGTATTTGCAGCAACCTTGATAGAACTGGAGACTATTATTCCAAGTGAAGTAACTCAGGAATGGAAAACCAAACATTGTATGTTCTCATTCATAAGCGGGAGCTAAGCTATGAGGCTGCAAAGGCAGAAGAATGATACAATGGACTCTGGGGACTCAGTGGAAAAGGTGGGAGGGCAATGAGGGATAAAAGACTACAAATTGGGTTCAGTGTATACTGCTCAGGTGATGGGTGCACCAAAATCTCACAAATCACCACTAAATAACTTACTCATGTAACCAAATAACACCTGTTTCCCAAAATCCTCAGGTTAAAAAAAAAAAAAAAAAAAAACAGAACAAAAAAACCAGGCCAGGTGCAGTGGCTCACACCTGTAATCCCAGCATGTTGGGAGGCCGAGGTGGGTGGACCATGAGGTCAAGATATCGAGACCATCCTGGCCAACATGGTGAAACCCTGTCTCCACTAAAAATACAAAAATTAGCCGGGTGTGGTGGCGGGCACCTGTAAGTGCCAGCTACTCGGGAGGCTGAGGCAGGAGAATTGCTTGAACCTGGGAGGTGGAGGTTGCAGTGAGCCAAGATCACACCACTGCACTCCAGCCTGGCGACAGAGTGAGACTCCATTTCAAAAAGGAAAAAAAAAAAAGCACTAAGTTTTTAAACTTTTTTTTTTTGTCTTAAAAAGAGGCCCTCTTGCCTCTCCAAATCATGCTGTCATTAAATAAAATTGAGCAAGAGTACAATAGAGTTTCCTTTCCAAGAACTCTGATTTTTCCAAGGGAAAGACTCCAAACTGTTGCCTAAAAAATGACATTGGAATGGTGCTGAAAGATGCATTCCTATTGCTGTGTTACATTAAAATTTTTTTGAGCATCTTAATTGAAATTGTTCTACTACACATGGAGCACAAAGGACTTAGCTGGTGGTAGTAAATGCCTTTAAATTTTCTCCTTCTCTGCAGCAATGAGAGGCAAGATAAGTGGTCTTTCCAATACACTGAAGAATTAAAATTATGTTATTTTAATGGAAAAAATGCTGAGACATACACTCAGTTCAGACATTCAAATGTGCTCGCTTGCTCTCTTGTAAACAGAGCCACAACTTCTAACAACACTTTTAAGTCTTCTTAGTCATTACTCAGACTGAGATGGGTTTGTCTCCTTAGACACATACTTGGCACATAATTTTCAGCCTTACTAAATAACTTCATAAAAGAAGAGTCATAATTATTCATATTCAACGTGATTTCAGGAATAGAGACCAAAAGAAACCTGCAAATATTAAAGCTGTTGCCCGCATCATTTTCAATACTTATCACGTATGTGTATCGATATTCTTTATGAGGAAGTTTGAAAGTAATAATCTGTAAGACGTAGGAATACTTTTTATGTTTCTGAAAACTGCTCTGGACCCTTTTCAGTGAAACTGAATTTTAATGTGACATTCCAATTTCTTAATAGAAAACCACTTAATCTTAGAAACCATAAAGTTAAATTGGCTTTAACCCCTTTAGTATTCATGAAATGAATGCGATAATTGCACTAAGATACATTTGCTTTTATAATTAAGTATTATTGTGAAAATCATCTTTTTTTGCCAATTAAGTGTTTTTCTCCCATATTCAAGGATAAAATGGAAACAAAGGTCAATTCCAGAGAAAGCTCATCAAATAAAAGTTCAACATACTCTTGAAACTTGTATTGCTAAGATCTTATATAAATAAATATTATGTAATGAGGATTTTAAAAATTAGAATGCTTTTATAAAGAAATCAATTTAAACCTTTCTATGGCTTTTCAAATAATTATGATTAAGTGGCAAAACTATCTCTTATTTCAGCATTTATCATCTGGACCAGATTTCTAATATTCTGACTTTTCAGTCTTTTCTTTTAAAAATCTATCTTTTTTTAGGTGATAATTTATCATCCTCAGATTGTAATCTCAGTCACTGTGTCATCATATTGAAAGTTGGAAATTCATGGTTAGTAAATCTCTGAGGAAAGAAGTCAGCAAAAATCAGAAACATCATTTTGAATCTAGTGCTGTGATACTGTTTGGATATTTGTTCCCTCCAAATGTCATGAAAATGTAATCCCTAGTGTTGGAGGTGGGTCCTAGTGGGAGTGTTTCCGTCAAGGGGGTGGGTCACTCATGAATAGTTTGGTGCCCTCCCCTTGGTTATAAGTTCATGCGAGGGCTGGTTGTTTAAAGAGCCTGGCATCTCCCCAACCCTTGCTCCCTCTCTTACCATGCAACACGCCTGGTCCCCCTTTGCCGTCCACCATGAGTAGAAACTTCCCGAGGTCTTACCAGAAGCAATGCTGGTGCCATGCTTATACAGCCTGCACAACTGTTAGCCAAATAAACTCTTTTCTTTATAAACTACCCAATCTCAGGCATTCCTTTATAGCAAGCCAACATCAACTAATACATGCTGAGTTACTCAATAGCTTAATAGTCCAATAAAATTGGTGGACCAAAAATATTTTTGAAAGAGTTTTATGTTTGTTATTAAAAGGGGGCTAATATATCATGGAAAAATATCAAAACTTCTTTGGATATTCCCACACTTATCTTAAAGTTTATGATTTAAAAAAACATTTAAACATATTTAGGGTTTAAAATAGCTTTTCCCACATTTAAGCACAGGCTGCCTTAATACACTTCCTGATAACAAGCATGTAGGTGTCTTTGCAACACAATTAGAGAAGTGACAAAAACTTTGCAAGAAGGAAAACACAAATCTAGACATGACTGTTTCATCTCTGTGTAACAGTCTCTCTAAATGAAAGAATATCACAGATATGGAGAAATATCCAGGACATACCATCAGAGAAATTCTGCCCCTTCCTCACTTGGAATGTATTTCTGCATTCAACAAGTAAATTTGGTTCACAAGTGATTCCCTCAAATTTCTAGTTGCTCCCAGTATTTTTACATGAGTGCCATTACTACAACTTCAAAATATGCTGGTGATAAAGAATACATTATTAAAATTACACAAAAGCAACAAAATCAAATCCCAATCACTTACAGTTCTGTTTTATCTCCTTTCTTCAAGGAAATGTCAACCCTTCAGAAGCTCAGCCTTTGTAATTATATACTGCCTTCAATCAGGTGGGAGGAATCCAAAGTCCCAAAACCTTCACAGCTGCTTCTAATCATGGTGTGCATTGGAATCACCTGGAGAACTTTCTATTAAATGGTAGCCATGACTCACCTCTAGAATCTAAATTAATTGATCTGGGGGAGGGGCCCCTAATGATAGTATGCTCTCGAAGCTCCCCAGGTGATTCTCATATGCAATCAGGGCTAAGAAGCCCAGTTCTAAAGCTAATATATATTCAAACTGAAATAAGACATCTTGGCTCTTAATTTCTTTAACACCAACTATTAATTTTTATATAGAAAACAAGCATTTAAATATTTAGCAACTGAAGTCATTGCTGCAAAAATTAAGTGGTATCCTTAGTTTCAGATTTTTTTGCCAACTGACATGTTAAACGAACCAGAAAACGTTCACCTACATTCTTACCCTGTAATGACGAGAATCAGAAGATGGACTAGACTCGCTAAAAGAGAATCCCAGCTCCTCAGAATTTCCTCAGCTGGATTTGAGAAAGTATGAGTCTTTACTGATTTGTCCTATTTCAACATCTCACTTTACTAAAAGCTTTGAGTGACTTGCCACCACCCACTTCTGTTAGCACTCAACAAAATAAGATGAAGAAAGAGTGTTGTGCTGGGAAATGTTTAACTAGTTATCTTGGGGTGAGATGGGGCACATAGGAGATTTGCAGTGTTTGCCGATTTACAGAGCTCATATACTCCCACTCCCACCATAGTCGATTTTAAGCTATCAATGGTTTAACAACTGGTTTGCAAAACTTTTTGAAAATTTCACAATTTGCTGAGCCAGTATAAGCCAGGTCCAGCATTCCACTGTGAAATTATTAACATGTTTGTGTATCAGAGTCCTTGCTTGGCAAGAATTGACATTTAGTTGTATCAGTCTTATTACTTGAAATATCTCCCTATGAATATCAATTTGAAATTTTTGATTCATAATTGACATGAAGAACATTCCCCAGATAAGGCTATACTTGAACTATGTTTTATCCACAATTGGGGTTCAACAATTCAGAAGGAAAAGGGTAAAATGTATAAGATTTTAGTGACTTTAAGAGAGAAACCATCAAAAGAAAGAACTTCTGTGATGAGCTGGATTCAGCAGTAAACCCCGAGAAGGAAGTTAAGTAGTTCTTCTATAATAGGGGATGTGGCATCTTGAAGGCCTAATAGAGCTGGATGGGCCATTAAGATATACAGGGTTTAACCTATAACAACTTTGACAAAGTTATGAAATAATTTTACTAATATCTTATCGAAAAAGTCATAGAGGTTATGGGATTGGTTTGAAACCAGTTTTGGGGGGTTCAATTCCTCTGACAAGGAATTGTCAGAGAGGTCATGCTATTGTTGGTAGAGTTCAGAATGAACACAGACATGGAAAGTTACCTAGATCCAGCCCATTTGTGCAAAAGGAAGGAAAAAAAAATTGTTTCAATCAGCTAAATGGTCTGCATCACTAAATTCAGTGTCAGATATGCTACAGGCTCCACTATGTAAAGCCAGAGGAGGATCCATTCTCTTTGAGAGCTAGAGACCATCCAAAGAGCTGATAATCAGTGGGCAGATCACTTGAGGTCAGGAGTACGAGACCAGCCTGGACGACATGCCGAAACCCCATCTCTACTAAAAATACAAAAATTAGCCGGACGTGGTGGCACACACCTGTGATCCTAGCTACTAGGGAGGCTGAGGCAGAAGAATTGCTTGAACCCTGAAGGTGGAGGGTACAGTGAGCCAAATTTGTGCCACTGCACTCCAGAGCCTGGGTGACAGAATAAGACTCCATCTCAAAAACAAACAAACAAACAAACAAAAAAGAATTGGTAATCAGAATAGTTAGCTGGAAAAGGTTAAGAGTTCTCAGAGAGGTCTTTGATAGGGACTGGAGTTTCAGTGTAAGTAGTCAAAGACTTAGAGCTGTCAGGACCCAGCTTAACTATCAACAGATTAGTATTACATGGCTAGGGACATACAGGTGATTTACATTTCACCATCCCTCTCCTGCAATTGCACGTATAGGCAGAATAGCATAGTGCTTAAGAGTACACTCAGGAACAGTCTAATTCCCAACTCCACCACTTAATATCTACGTGACCTTGGAACATTTCTGTGTGCACTAGTTTTCTCCTCTATAAAATGTAGATAATGATAGTACCCACTTCATTGGGTTAGTACAAGATTTAAATAAGATAATATGTGCAAAACGTTCAGCATAATGCCTTCATGGAACATTGTAATATTTTTGGCTGGTGGCCGTGAAGAAAATGTGAAGATAATATAGGTGAAGTATATAACATCATCCTCACTTGAAGGAAAGTTATGTTAAAGAAATGAAATATCTCTCCCAAGATCAGATAGTTAGCAAATTGTAATTCAGAATTTGAACGTGAATCAGCCCGACCTTGAAGCTTCTGTTTTTCCCATACATATGTGGGAAAATGTCCTGTCTCCCAATGGGAGAGGACGTAATAGTGCAAATGGATTCTCTAAGATGCTTACCTATCTTGGGGGTGGTTTGGATGACAAATATAATGCTAAATTGTTGTTTTCTTATATAAAGAAGGGTCAAAGTTAGGACAGGGACACAAGCAATGAAGAATCCCTTCTAAACCCTGATTAAAGGAAATTTTCTCTTGTTATATAATTTCCACTTTTATTTTAGACTCAGGGGTACATGTGCAGATTTGGTACATGAGTATGTTGAATGATGCTGAGGTTTATTATGATTTTTCCCATCACCCAGGTACTGAGCATAGTACTCAGTAGTTTTTCAGTCCTTATCCCATCCTCCCATCTCATCCTCCCCTCTTATCCCATCCTCCCATCCCATCCTCCCCTCTTCCTTCCTTGCTCTAGTAGTCCCCAGTGTGTATTGTTGCCATCTTTATGTTCATGAGTACCCAATGTTTAGCTCCTACTTATAAGTGAGAACATGCAGTATTTGGTTTTGTCTTCCTGCATTAATTTGCTTAGGATAATGGCATCCAGCTGCACCCATGTTGCTGCAAAGGACATAATTTCATTCTTTTTATGGCTGTATAGTATTCAATAGTATAAATATACCATATTTTATTTATCCAATCCACCACTTATGGGCACCTAGGTTGATTCCATGTTTGCTTTTATGAATAGTGCTGAAATGAACATATGAGTACATGCATCTTTTTGGTAGAATGATTTATTTTCTTTTGGACATTTACCTAATAATGAGATTGCTGGGTCAAATGGTAGTTCTAAGTTATTTGAGAAATTTCCAAACTGCTTTCCACAGTGACCGAACTAATTTACATTCCTAAGTTAGCTGGAAAAGGTTAAGAGGTGATGTCTCCACAACATCACCAGCTTCTATTGTTTTTTGAACTTTTAGTAATTGCCATTCTGATTGGTATGAAGAGTATCTCATTGTGGTTTTGATTTGCATTTCTCTGATAGTAATGTTGAGCATTTTTTCACATGTTTTTGGCTGCTTGTATGTCTTCTTTTCAGAAGTGTCTGTTCATGTCTTTTGGCCATTTTTTAATGGGGCTATTTGTTTTTTGTTTGTTCAATTGTTTAAGTTCCTTATAGATTCCAGACATTAGACTTTTGTTTGATGCATCATTTGTTAATATTTTCTTCTATTCTGCAGGTTGTCTGTTTATTCTTTTGATGGTTTCTTTCACTGTGCAGAAGCTCTTTATTATAGTTAGACTCCGCTTGTCAATTTTTGTTTCTGTTGTCATTGCTTTTGAGGACTTCATTATATATTCTTTCCCAAGACCAATATCCAGAAATGATGTTTCCTAGGTTTTTTTCTAGGATTCTCATAGTTTGAGGCCTTACATTTAAATCTTTAATCCATCTTTCACTAATTTTTATATATGGAGAAAAGTAGGTGTCCAGTTTCATTCTTCTACATACAGCTAGACAGTTTTTCCAGCACCATTTATTAAATAAGAAGTCCTTTCCCCAGTGCTTATTTTTGTTAACTCTGCAAATAATCAGATGGCTTCAGGTGTAAAGCTTTATTTCTGGGTTTCCTATTCTGTTCCATTGGTCTATGCATCTGTTTTTATGCCAGTACCATGCTGCTTTGGTTACTGTAGGTTTATAGTATAGTTTGAGGTCAGGTAATGTGATGCCTCCAGGTTTGTTCTTTTTAAATTTTTTATTATTTTTAAAAATGTTTGTGGATACACAGTAGGTGTATATATTTGTGGGGTACATGACATGCTTTGATACATGCATGTAATAAACAATAATCACATCATAGAAAATGGGGTATCCATTCCCTTAAGCATTTATCCTTTGTGTTACAAACAATATTTTAAAATGTACAATTACATTATTGTTGACTACAGTCATCCTGTTGTGCTATCAGATACTAGGTCTTATTCATTCTTTCTAACTATATATATTTTTTGTAATCATTAACCATTCCCACTCTCTATCTCTATGAGTTCAATTGGTTTGTTTTTTAGTACTCACAAATAAGTGAGAGTATATGAAGTCTGTCTATGTTTGATTTATTTCACTTAACATAATGACCTCCAATTGCATCCATGTTGTTGCAAATGACAGGATCTCATTCTTTTTTATGGCTGAATAGTACTCCTTTGTGTATATGTATCACATTTTCTTTATCCAACATCCATTGATGGATATTTAGGTAGTTTCCAAATCTTGGCTATTGTGAACAGTGCTGCAACAAATAGGAGTGCAGCTATCTCTTCGGTATACTGATTTCCTTTCTTCTGGTTATATACCTAGCAGTGGGATTGCTGGATCATATGGTAACTCCATTTTTAGTTTTTTGAGGAACCTCCAAAATGTTCTCCATAGTGGTTGTACTAATTTACATTCCCACCAACAATGTATGAGGGTTCCCTTTTCACCACATCCTTTTTAGCATGTGTTATTACCTGTCTTTTGCATGAAAACCACTTCAGGCCCAGCGTGGTGGCTCACCCCTGTAATCCCAGCACTTTGGGAGGCCGGCTGGATCACCTGAAGTCGGGAATTCGAGACCAGCCTGATCAACATGGAGAAACTCTGTCTCTACTAAAAATACAAAATTAGCCAGGCGTGGGGGCACATGCCTGAAATCCCAGCTCCTCAGGAGGCCGAGGCAGGAGAATCACTTGAACCTGAAAGGCAGAGGTTGCAGTGAACCAAGATCGCACTATTACACTCCAGCCTGGGCAACAAGAGTGAAACTTCATCTCAAAAAAAAAAAAGAAAAAGAAAAAAAAGAAAAGAAAACCATTTCAACTGGGGAGAAGTGATATCTCTTTGTAATTCTGATTCGCAGTTCCAGGAGCCTTTTGGCAGATCTTTAGGGTTTTCTCAGTATAGAATCAAATCATCAGCAGAGATAGTTTGACTTAATTTTCTATATGGATGCCTTTTCTTTCTCTTGCCTGATTACTCTGCCTAGGACTGCCAGTCCAGTGTTGAATAGGAGTGATGAGAGTAGGCATTCTTATCTTATTCCAGTTCTCAAGGGGAATGCTTTCAGTTTCACCTGCTCAGTATG